GTGCAATTAAGAAAAATCTAACAAGTCTTACGTGCTTATCAAATTTTATTCTATCATACTTTATTGATACTTTATAATTTTTTATATATTGATTTGGTATAATCCGTATAAAATACTTAATATTATATTTTAAAATCGATTCCGTTATTCTCTATTTAATGTTTATAAAAGCAATTAGTCAAACAATTACAAATTTAGATTACAATTAAATATTTAAACATAATTAGCCCAAAGAAAGAACTCAAAAATATTTTATTTATATCAATGCTGATGTTATAAAAAATTTCAAAGATATTTTTTTATTTATTTATCTATTTTTAAATAATTTTTCAATATCTAATGTCAATAATAATCAAAGAAACTTAATAAGAATTTATTTAAAAGCGAACAGAAATTTAATTTAGCAATCTGATTACGTAGATGGTATAAACATTATTTTCTTAGCCCTTATTTTCAATAAAAACATTCAATAAAATAAGCTATAGGCAATAGAGACTTATACGTAATCTTGGAAATATAATATCTAAATCAAGGGAGCATACCGAGACATAAATTAAAATATTTTAATACATAAGCATAGAGATAATGTGATGTCTTCGATTTGTCGGAACTTTAGAACTTGTTTACATCATGATATACGATGAAGGAATTTCACCATTATGAAGCTTCCTCTTTGTCGTAGTACGACAAAACTCCGCTAGTTACAAAGTAATTTAAACATGGCAACTGGGCTTTTTGACTTCTCGAGCACCGATCGTTCGCTCGGAGCCAAATTTCCAAGTGTGTATGCGCGTGTAATTGAAATACCGGAAAGTAACAGGTTTTCAGTGCCTTCGTCCGTTCAATATTAAGCGTTAAAAATAGCTCGTACGGAGTTGGCAATCGAAGTAAGTATAATAGGTTAAGGATTCCACGAAGTCGTATTTATAAGCATAAGCAATATTCTTAGATGAATCAATAAACTGAAAATCGATAAATATCAATCTTAATTTATTGACAAGCCAAGCGTATTTTCACAATTTCGTTCTTGTCCGGTAATTACCAATAGCTAATCATAGTCTTTTATTATCATCCCACCTCGAACGCAATTTCTCCAAGCTTCGATTATTAGGTATTTGAATACGATCAAACGAGGTGTATGTAGAGAATAGAAAAGAATCTCCACATCACTTATCGAAAATTGCGTGACGATTTGTCGAATGGGAGTAACAAAGAAATTCTCATGCAGCGGCGCACATGAATACTCATATGTGTGCACTCGCGTGCGTACGAACGAGATATGGACAAAGACAGATACAGAGACAGGGATAGAGAGAGACAGACAGACAGACAGACAGACAGATAGACAAACAGATAGCCAGATGGACAAACAGAGACGAAGGCATACACGTGCAAAAGTTCGGAAAACGAGTCGCGAACGACTGTTCGTGTCCCCAGAGATCGTGGCTTTATCCACACTCGCTCAATGGCACACATGCACCTATGCTCACACCCGTGCATACATATACATACAGAAAGAGAGAGAGAGAGAGAGAGAGAGAGAGAGAGAGAGAAGCTCCGGTTGTCGATGGACCAAGTATTGGGCGAGCGCTCCGAATCGAGAACTCGTTTCGCAACTTGGTTCCGGATCGGTGCGACTCGCGGCCAAGCGACTGTTCTCTCTCTCTCTCTCTCTCTCTCTCTCTCTCTCTCAGTGTGTGTATGTGTGTGCACAGGGCCGAGCAACGCATAGCGCCGTTGTAAGAGAGTGAAAAGAAAGAGAAATGCAGGCGGGCTCGGAGGTGAAAAAACAAAAAAACATATCCGCCGTCCTTTCGTAAATACGCGGCTCTACGTGCGTGAATGAGCGCCTGCGTGGCGGGAGAAATCTAGCTTCGGTGTGGGTGCCGTCGTTGCACTCGCAGATGCTCCGAATTGGGTTTGACGAAGTGAGACGCGAATGCCGATCGAGCCAAGCCTCGAGCTTATTAATGTTATTAAGCAACGAGGCTGTGACGAGAGGAAGAGGAGCAGGAGGCGCATTTTGAGGAAGGTATGAATTTCATTGGGTCGGCTCAGCGTTTTTGATGCTTCTTTTTCTTTCCATACTTTTTTTTTATCGGCGTCTCGATTAAATTTATTTCCTATGTCGCTTTCACAGCTAGATGGAAAATTTTGCTTTTCTTTTTTCTATTAACATTCAAATAATTATGCGGAAAACGTACGCTCTACTATAATTGTTTCGCGTATTTCCGCAGTGACTGGATTTATTTTCGGCATAATGTAATTGATAAATACTATCCGTTACATGAATCAAATGCTAGAGCAACTACCTTTAGTGTGGAGCAGGAGGAGGATGGAGAGAGATATATTTTAAGAAACTGAAAGGTGCGATTGGACTGCTTTGACGAGCTCTCCCGCAAAAGATTCCCGTGCTAATGTCGATCTAGCTTACGCCAGTCATCGAAGATCGATAATTTTGTATGTTAAATTAGTTGGTTTCCAATCAATCAACTATAAATTTGAATAAAATGATCGTGAATAAAAATGCACGGACGAATAAAAATGCCAATTAGTGGCTGCGCGATTGTCAATTCACGATAATGGCATAAATGCTTATACGTTTCTTAATCAACCGAGACATTCAAATTATAAAAGCGCAATATTCATCATCGCGAGCATTACGCTCGTATTACAATAGTTTTATTACCCGCACATCTATTGCAACTGAAGATAATGTTTAAGCGACTCTCCTGCACTAGGAGTATTAATAATTTCAATAATACAATGGCAAATGAAATGAATATCAATCCGCAATAAAATGCGAATATAATGCTTTCATAAATTAAGAAAAGGAACGTAAACTCGGCTAAAGACAGCCGAGACAGCTGACAAAGTGAGATAACCACGATCAAAAGAAATCGATCACCTCCGCGTCATTCAAGTTCTCGATGTCCGTGGAATGTGCGCGCCGTATAATTTATAAAAATACCGGCAATAACAAGAGCGTGTTTGCGTACCAGACGCACGCGATCTCTAAGGTCAAACCTACGCGCATTCTACGCAGATTTTATTTTAACTCAATCATTCCTGCGTGTGTAAGCACTGTGTAAGTACTGTGTAAGCACCCTGTAAGCACGACAATGAGATAACGAAGATGAAGAACGACTTGTCCGACATATTTCAACAGCAACAGCTATCCGCCAATTGATAGAGTGAAGAGGAGAGTCATCGGGATTCCTAATTTGAACTAGTCGGGCGATTTTAACGCTCAAGAAGCGTATGTTGCTTGAAAGACACAATGAGCCTCGATGAAATTCATCTCGTTGGTGTCCGTCGGTAAAGAGCATCGACGTCTTAGTTTGATGAATAAATTATGAATTCGTTTGACTGAAACAATGTGCTTTCTCGATCGACGATTCGTCGTGGCTTCGCTCGAGCTCATTTACTTAAGCGCCCTTTGCTGCTTTTCCATTTGTCTCTCACATCACCGCGACTGCCAACATTCCAATCGATACTTTAGAATACTAATCGCGCTGCAATTTTACTCGCGTATAATTTTAAATAAATAAAGAAAAATTTATTATCATGGCTCGAGCTTATCACGAATTTGAATTTTTTACTAGCTGATAACGAAAACTGTAACTTCGTATGTTTGCGGCATGTCTTTATTGAGGTTGAAGTAGTTAGTTACCTTGGCAAAGTGAATGCGGACTTGATGATATTTGGGGGGGAGGAGGGGGGGGGGAGTCCTCCATCGTTATGAAATTTTAAAATACGCAAATTTAATAAAAACAAAAAAAGTGTTTTCAAACTATTTACCCTTTAAATTTAAATTTAAAAATTTTAATTCCTCCTCAATTAATTCATATTTAATGTTTGAATAATATTTCTTTTAAAAGTGTTTGCCTGCCATGCAATTACGCCGTTATAAATAACAATAGACAAATAAAATGCGGAGCGTAAATTCATAATCGATCGATGATGAGATTGATGAATTGATAATGATTGAAAGATCCAATTGAAACGATAACCCGTCGGTTATTACATGCTCTTAACACAAATTGAAACTTATGAAAATAATGTATTACAATGCCAAGCTGCTGGTGGAATCCTTTTCAAAACTTTTCTCGTAAGAATTTTCAAGAAAATAAAAACTGTTTAACCATCGAAATTTTTTAATTTACGATTAGCATTTTTTATAAGCTATTAATTTTAAAATAACGACGTATTTCTGTTATGGCTGACTCAATCGCTGACTTTTGAATTTTAAATTTAGTAATAAGGAAAATTACAACTGTCAGCGCGCATTCACAACGAAACGTATTCGAGTAACTTCGAATAGCGTAAATTCAAATATTTATCCAGGCTATGGTTATAGCATGGGAAATCAATTTTTTGTTTTTTTGACAGATAAATAAATAACTGAAGTAGTTAGTCGGACGATACAGGAGTCCCTCTCCACAATGCTTAAAATTGAATTTTAAGGTGCCATGGTTTTCTCGTAATCCCTAGGCGATAGAACGGCCGAACATCGACGGCCATTTAATCGTCGAATTCGTTGATTATCGAATTCGTGTTGGTGGGCCGAAACTTGGAGTTTCGCTCTCCGAAAATAAAATGGGGTAAAGGAGGCGAGGAAGAGGATGCCGTGGGTCCCACAGGCACGTAGTCGATCCTTGACGCAAGGGATAAAGATCGTGCAAGCGTGCTCCGATCCGAAGGAGGAGAGAAGAGCGGCCGAAGACAGTGGCCGATGAGACTTGGCTAAAAAGCCATGGCGGTACGTCTTGTTTTGAGAGGAGCCACCGCCACCGCCGCCGTTACCGCCGCCGACGCCGCCGTCACTACCGCCACCACCACCGCCACCGTCTCGAAAAAAGGGAGAGTAAACGAATGATCCAGAGAGTCAAAGAGTGCGAGCGAGAGAGGGCGAGTGGGAGGGAGGCAGGCCCCGTAAAGTGGGGCCCGACACGTGACCGGCCGGTTATATATATAAGATCGCGAAGCGACGCCGGCAAGACGCTCGAGCGAGTTCTTCTGTCCTTATCGTCAAGTGGGACGTTTGTCGAGGATCCTTTGGCTGAACAGTGAATTAAACAGCAGTGCGCCGTAGCTTAAATATCGTTCGTATCGCCCCGATTGACGCCGATCGCACGCGCCAGCAGCAGCCACGAGCAAGGAGGAGCATCACCATGAGAGCCTACGTTACGTTAGCAGCGATCCTCATCGCCGGTACGTACACCCGATGACGATAAACCGGTGCGACGACCCAGCGACGTTCGTTGTCGTTTAATTGACACGGGCGACGAGGGGGGCGGTTTGAAGAAATGGGGCTGGCGGGGTGGGATGGGGAAGGGGGGCACTTGGGCGCCTAGGCGCGATGTAGCGAGCGAGCCTAGGGCCTCGTTGCAGATAGGGAGAGGCGAGGATCGCCGCGGCGAGGCCTCGTGCGCGAGTGAAAGTCGCCGAAATGATATGTAATACGTTCGTTCGGATGGATTTGCTCGACCGAAAAAAGTGCAAAGACGACGAGTGCGCATGCATTTTGTCGAGCAAGACGAGCGTGTGATCGACGACTCAAGTCGCTTGTACATCGGTTAGGGCACGACGTGGAACTTGAAGCACTCGGGCTCTCTTGACGTTTGTTTCAAATTGTTTCGGCTCGCTTTCTCGTGGACGGCAGCTGAACTTTCGTCGCCCATCTTGCCAGCAGCCCCATTCTCGCTGAGAAAACGAAACGAAGCTCGGCGATTTCGTTAGAGAGTCGATTACACGTCCAGCGCGTGCACTTTCGTCTCGCTGCTACGGAGAAAACGTGCTTTTCATTACGGTTGATCTCGGGGGGCCGGTAGAACGCAAGTACAACGAGAGTGCATGCGCGTATATATCGGAGTACGAATGATCCTCGGGCTCGTGCACACAAACAAGCTAATTAACGTACGTGTGTTAATTATACGAAGAGAAATTGCGTTTTCATGCTTTCGGTCGTGTATTTTTCTTTCGTTCTTTTACATTTTTCGTTAAAGTCGTGCAAGTGGTTGCCAGAGATTTCCACTCGAGCACTGGCTTACGTGGCAATTGGCTCGATGTCGAGTATGCAATTTCTATGAATTACCGAAGGGATCGGAGGAGAATTTCTCTCCTGTTCAAAATCGATCGATTATTTCTAAAGTAGTCAATCAACATTGGGTAGTAGCTGGATTTTTTCTTTCTCGGGTATAATTTCTCTCTCTCTCTACCTCTCTCTCTATATCTCTCTCTCTACCTCTCTCTCTCTATCTCTCTCTCTCTCTCTCTTTCTTTCTCTATGTGTGTGTGTGTGTGTCTGTCTGTCTGTCTGTCTGTCTGTCTGTCTGTCTGTCTGTCTGTCTGTCTGTCTGTCTGTCTGTCTGTCTGTCTGTCTGTCTGTCTGTCTGTCTGTCTGTCTGTCTGTCTGTCTGTCTGTCTGTCTGTCTGTCTGTCTGTCTGTCTGTCTGTCTGTCTGTCTGTCTGTCTGTCTGTCTGTCTGTCTGTCTGTCTGTCTGTCTGTCTGTCTGTCTGTCTGTCTGTCTGTCTGTCTGTCTGTCTGTCTGTCTGTCTGTCTGTCTGTCTGTCTGTCTGTCTGTCTGTCTGTCTGTCTGTCTGTCTGTCTGTCTGTCTGTCTGTCTGTCTGTCTGTCTGTCTGTCTGTCTGTCTGTCTGTCTGTCTGTCTGTCTGTCTGTCTGTCTGTCTGTCTGTCTGTCTGTCTGTCTGTCTGTCTGTCTGTCTGTCTGTCTGTCTGTCTGTCTGTCTGTCTGTGTGTGTGTGTGTCTGTCTGTCTGTCTGTCTGTCTGTCTTCGTATAAAAACCTTTTTTGCATATAATTTGACGTTTGAAAATGTAATATAAAAGTCATCCGAATTACAGAGGATTTAATTGACTCTAGCAGTTAGAAACTAATTTTCTCACTGTAATAATACCGCATTATCGGAAGAATGGATAAAAATATTTTAAAACTTAAATTTGCTTTATGAAGAGAGCGCTACTACTAATGGTATTAAGTGTTTGTAACTGAACATTGATAATTCAATATTGAAAATATGAATTCTTGAGTATCGGTTATTTTAACGTTGGCTTCTGATATTCCTAATAATAAACAATTAAGGGAAACTTTGCTATTTACTACGACAGTCTTAAATTTAAAATTAGCTCACGGAACAATAGTAAATTAAGCTCCTTTTTTAGTTTATTAAAAAAGTAAAGTGTTCACGGGGTAAGGAACGTTTCTAAAAATCCATTGAGAGAAAATTTAAAAAAACGTTTAATATATGCAAACGCTTCGTGCAATCGTCAAACAAATAACTATCTCGCGATGTCTTCTGCACGAACGTACTCTAATTACACACAATCTACAACATTTTTTTAAAAAGCAGTATTTCTGCAATCCGTGATAGTATATGGCTACATGATACTCTCAATCTATACGAAATAAGAATCCAGAAACGGCTTCGCGAACATTCGACCATATTACAGAATCGACAACGTAATTTTAGATTTACAATTTAAAAGTATATGACGGATATAATTACGCTGATGGATTACACGCGTGTGAGATCATAGTAAAATCATCTTTATAGGAACAATGTCAGTCGATGAATACGAAGTACGAAAGTTTGAGACATATTCCGATGGAATGATTTAGGGTTTTAAAATTTAGGGACAACATACGCGTGATAATCATATGGCAATAAACGGCAGTCGAGTAATATTACTCAACTAAAATTAAAATTCCATTACTAATATTTATTACACTCGTGCTGTAATTACACAATATATGTAGGAATGCTTGAAACGTAATAATTAGTTTTACGATGCTGTGAAATTGCTTATATTTTGGTAAACTTGAATAGAAATCCTACATTCGAAGTAGTTAAGGCATTGCAATGGTCGTCCATGCACTTTTAATTTGACATCCTTTATCTTTGAAGAAAATAAAGACATGAAGATTACCGAAGTAAGCCAACAGCAATGGATCTCCAAATTAAATAACGGATTATAAATTTCTTCTAACCAAAATGATACTACAACTTTTTATCGCCAATAAAGCTGATGGAAAAAGTCCCTAATACTACATCCGTACGCCTTCCGGTGCACAATTACCATTCGTACATCTCAACGGATTATAAATTTTATCGAATCCCGAAATAATCATTATTCAAAATAGTTCGCGAAATGTCTTTTCACACCCAGTCGACGTTTGCTACTCATTTACATTGGACGCCCGACCACCCGCGGTACTGCCCGACCATTCCTCGGCATCGGGCAGCCAACCATCACCGCCATCCTCAACAAACTCGATGATGGTATCTCTTTATACAAACAATACACTGAAATGTCCTTCCAACACGACACCTTGCAGCATCCAAAGTCAAGAAGAAATTAATCTATAATCAATTATGTATATCAAATATATATACAAGCAACGTTTCCTTGAACAATAAGAATAATGTTAGAAAGGTGAGCAGCTCCACTTCATCTAAACTCCTGCATAAATTAATCGATGCGTCCGTCCTCCTCTCGTCGCCTGACTCTCTTCTTCGTAAATTATCCACGGGATATTTACGTAAGCGCGCGCAATAGTTACACGTTTGCGGATCATCGACACATTCACGAGCGCAATCTTCAAGCTGATTTTTATTTTATTCATCCTTGCTTACTCGCATTAGGATTATATTTGCAGACAGTGGAGTAATATTCGCAGATTTATGTCGGCAAGATTTTTTTCTTTTCATGTTCACGTATGCGCCAAGTATCGTGGATTTTTACGCGTTTGGAGCGCTTATTTGTCAATGAGGAAAGGAAAGTATTCTGCGCTTCTTTTGCCATGCCCAGCTTTTACTACTAAATCCATATAATTATATTCACATTTTCATACAGTAAAGTACTAGCCGTTCAGCTTCTTTCACTAGATTCGTAACTTTAGGGGGAAATGTATGTGGCTGGTTTATATAGTAAATGGGCGTGAATATGAGGAAAACAGTTTTGCCAGTGCCATGTACGCGTAAAATGCGTGGATACTTTCAGTAATTCAATGATTCGCAAAGCTAATCGCTTTGTTCAATAGTTTCTGAAGCAATTCTATTAAAAAAAAAATATTCACTAATTAGTGCGACCTACAATTGTAAAGAAATTTAACTATTTTTTTATATATATTGCACATTGGTATAGCCATTGAGCAAACTATTGTTGACTATCGTGAATATATAAGAAGAAAAAGCTTTGGCTTTAGCTGCAGAATCTAAATTTATTTTGCTCTTTAAGTAATTAGATTTTGCATCGACTCCACAATGGCAAAAAATGATACTATTAAGAAGAAAATTTGATCAAAAAAATTTGACCAAACTGTAACGGAAAACAAACAGATTTACTTTTTGCACTTAAATCTATGCGCTATGTACCATAGTATTTGACTTTTTCTATGTAATAATAAGCTCATTTATTTGAGAAAAATGGAGAAAGTATTAATTTAAGTTGGTATACTCTGCATGTGTATCATATTCTTAAACGAAGCACACTTAAAATTAATCACGATATTACGAATGCTGCCGCTCATGTGGAAATGTATGATTTTTTGAATAAAAGTATAAACGGAGAAAAAATTCGCAGGTCGAAATCTCTCAGCATTTTTTTGAGCCTCGTGCTCACACTTCCTTTAATGATGATATGCTTTAACGGTGTGTAACGGATGAACTCGGGTCGAAGAAAGGCCTCGAGCGAAAGAACGTAGGCAGATCGAAGAATAGCTAATCGTCGTCGGTAAAAATGCATAAAATACATAATATATACATAATCGATCGGGGACCCAACCATTGGAGCGTTCAAAAAACTTTCACCAACCCGTTGACATTCACCGATCGAGGTAGATGAGAGAACAGAATGAGGAAGATGAAGAAAAAAAATCGCGCTTCTCGAGGGAACATGCAGGCAATTACGAAACTAACCGAAGCCACAGGTGAAAATAACCTGGCTGGCTACGGTCACACGCTCACACGCACACATTGCGACGAGAAGGATGATCAGGAGAAAGGGCGCAAAAGCGGGCCGCATTTACAAAAAGACGAATTAAAGAATCGTAATGCTCGGCGCGCGCAATGTTTCCCAAAGTCAGTAAAGCAGATATAAAATCTCCCGGGTCCAATATAAACAAGAGAGAAAACTGACACACTACGTCGCAGCCACTTGCGTAATATTTCTGGTGCTGGCCGATTCGCTAA